TCGCCACGCGTCGGCAGGCGCAGCCATGAGAAAGAATCCGCTCCCCCCGCCCATCCCCCATGAAAACACCCCAATAAACGCCCGCCCGGTGCCACCACTAACGAGCAAGAAGTCAAAGAGACCACTTGGTGGCACTTAATTTCATACTTTGAGGGGTGGTGCCCCTTGCGTCGTATTGCCGCTGGCGGGGTTCGAAGGGGCTGGGCGGGGGAGACGGTAAGTGAGGTGCTTATGAATTTGTTTTTTATTATTTTTGATTTCTACTGGGGCTTCCCACACTGCGGGCTCTCCGTGCGGTTGCGTGTGTGTGTTTCTTTGGGCTGCGCACAATAATCGCTGCTATCGCCGGCTTTTTTGCGACTGGCGTTTCTTGTGGGCAGCGGCGAGTGTGTGATCGTATGGCCCACGCGTTTATCGGCTCGGCCTTCGCCATGGATTATCACTGTTCTTTGCGCGGCGCGCATCGTTTTATTATTATTATTATTATTATTATTATTTATATATATATTTTTGGTTTCACCTTACTTTCTTCTCCACACCCAAACGCATACACGGAGAGACTAAACACCACTTGCTGCTGCGCACTTTGAGGGCGCTGCTGGTTCCACCCTGCCGCTCCTCTGCGCACTGAATTGCCGCGGTAGTGGGGCTGTGGGTGCTGCGAAGGCGAGTGGGCCATAACTGATTGCTCTCTTCAAGGCGGGAGAAACGTGATTTTCTCTTGGCGCAGCGGATACGGCGGCATCGGGAGAAGGTGACGTCAAGGCGTTTAGCGGCACTCCCCTGCTGAGGTCGGTGGCTTAACGGTGTCTCTCGCCAAAGCCAACTTCGGCGGGGCTGGCAATTCCAATGTTGGCATGTGAGAGGAGTACGTCAGCATCACGGGGGGAGGGATTGGAGAGGTGAGTCAACACGTGGGATAATACGGGTTGGTGGGCGGGCATTGCCGCGCAGCAGGGTGGGGAAGCGGGCCGCAGGTCCCAATTGGGTGGTCCCAAGGCCGTGGCTAAGGCAAAAAAAAATTAAAAAAAATGTTTCTGTTCTTGGAGAGCCTTTGTGCGGCATTTGCAGGCCAGGCTACCTTTGACCTTGAGCTGTTCGTTGGCAGCGTTCAGGCGCCAGAGCTGGAGACGTACGAATTATGTAGGAGGCTGGGGAACCGCTGGAGGAAGGACCTACTGCCCATCTGGCTGCGATGCCATGGGTTAAATTTCAGGGAAGTAGCGGCGGGTGTGTGTTTGCTGCGTGGCGGCCCGATTGCGCTCCCTCTGGTGGCTTCGGGGGCGGAGGATAACCAAAAAAGGGTGCGCCACCATCCCCTTAAAGGGCAACGCCCAGACCTGGCAGTTCCACGCAAGAGGCGTTGTTGAGAAAGACTGCTCCGATCCCAACCTTCTCTAGTGAGAGGGAAAACTGATCATGGCCGCAACGCATGCAAAGCACCACAACAAGGTGCATGCGTCTAGCGACGTGGGGGAGGCACGGGCGGAACTGGGTTGCGCGCATTCGAACCTCCTGAGGCCGTGAAAGCAGCGCCATCTGGCGGTTGAGTTTGGCACCTTGACTGCCTCCATTGAGGGGAGGGAGCTAATAGCGTTTGCTTCGCACTGCCAGCTTGGTGGTGTGAGAAAGACGAACGCGTTGCATATTTACATTACGGGCATGTTTCGGTTTCATCGTGTTGTGCCGATGTCTGCTGGTGGTGCCTTGGAGACCTCCGGAAGGGGCAGACAATTCACAGTTGACGTGCAGCAGACCATGGGCGGCAAGCAGATACAGGGGCGGCTGCTGTTTTCACGCGCCACCCCGCGCAGCCGGCGGAAACAAAGCGCGTGAGGACGTGGAATGCCGTTGACAAGAAGGTTGCACTACTCTGCGACACCACCTGCAAGGAAAAAGCCGCACCCGGCTACGCCTGCGGTGCGGCGGCGCCCACGGGCGGGCTGGTTGGCTTTTTTGCCCAGCGGAGGCAACAACAATAACTGGGTGAATGAGCGCCGCGGGGCGAGCGCCTCGTGCAGAGCAGACTGGCGCTGGCGCGGGGTTCAAAGGAACTGCCGCAGGGTGCGTGTGTGTTTGTGTGTGCGGCATTTGGGGGGCGGATTGCAGAGCCGGCGCTTCCACATTGCGAACGGCAACTTCGCGCTTGTGGCGGCCCTTCTTTTACCGCAGGCGAAACGTGTCTATACTTCTTTTGTCCTCTAAAACCCTGGGGGGAAGACCCCCAGACGTTTTGATGGGAATTCTGCTTCCCCAAGAGCGGCGCACAGGGAAACACAATTGTGCTCGCGAACCGCGCCCCTCTTCCGTGCTCAGCTCTGGCGCTTTCTCTGCGCAGCGGCGGCCCCGGCGTCGCAAGGACAAAACGGGAAGAAAACATGAAAAGAATGAGCTGCCGATTTCTTCAGCCCACGCCGTTTCTATCACTGGCGGTGTTTTTGGTGCTGCTGCATGGCACCGCGCGTTCGGCGGCGTGCTGCAGTGCTGCGTGAGCTGCCGTGCAAGGGGCAGGGCGCGATGCAGGCGTACACCGTCGCCGCAAAAGAGGAGGGCAACAGCGGCTGGGCGCCCATCCGCATTTTTGTCTCCACTGAAGATCTGAAGAAAGATGGTCAGTGGAAGTGGAGGAAGAAGAGGTATTGCGAAAATGCGGGGGAACAGTGCACCAACTACTTGGGGTACGAAGCAACGTGCACTGCCACGGACGTTTTGTCGGAAGAGAAGAAGGCATTGTACGAGAAGACGATTATCCCCATGGCAGTGAAGCTGCACGCGGAACGGCTCCTCGTCAAGCCCGTGGTTGACAAAATAATTGTGCCAAACGTTGCTGGAGGACCGTGCCAGCACTTTAAAATTCCAATTACCCACAAGACCGG